ACAGATACACAAACTGCCACACATGCAGGTACACAGACATACATATACACCTTTACTGCCATTTTACACCGTGTAAGTGCCAACGTGAGGGGTGAATGGGTAGGAGTTTGAAGGGGTTGGTGATGTCGGTCTTACTTAACCATGTCTTGCTGCCTGCTGTGATGATGGCTTGCATAGCGTCATCGATTTACAAAGTGTAATGAAACTCCTCAGTGGGTATGAGAGAGTTAATGCTGGAGACGGAAAAAAGAATACAGTGCAGAGAGGTCAATGATTAATCTTTTAATTTAAGTATAAATGTACGGCTATGCCAATGGGGTTAGTTCACCAGGATGAGAAAGGAGAAGTAGTGAAAGGGGCCAATCATGAAGCCAGCTTCGGTTTCAGTGGACAGTAGGTGATCCACCGTAAATGGGGCATAATCAGCTGAGAGCAGGTTAGGGCATACAAGCGTGCCTGTGGGGATGGTGATGAGTCCCGTGTGAAACCTGCCACCCAATAATTGACCAAATGCCTTGCTGAGTGGGAGCGTAGGTAGAAAGTAATGATGTGAATATTAACCTCGGTCAGTTATTTTTTTAGGTGACAGTCGGGCCGGACACATTGCCTTAGTATATGCTCTGAGGCAAATGGGGCAGATGTGCAACAACCGACATGCACTGAAGCTGCATGCACCGTTATTAAAGTTGTTGCACACCTGCGCCTTGCCCAGAAACACAATGGGTCTACCCAGCTTGTCCCTCTGCCCGTTTTCCTGTCTGGTGTGTGGGGTGAAGGAGTGGTGGGAAGTGGACAGGTCCACTTCACAAGGGCACAAGTTGGCAGAGTGAGATGTGGAGCTGCAAGCGGCACAGGACGAGAGCCTCAATCCAGCAAAATGGCGGCAGAATAGTTCCGTGTCCACCTGGCACCAGTCTATTTTGATATTAAATTGGGCCAGATGAGTTGCCGCCTTGGCTGACACAGACTTGTGGTAATTGTAGAAAGAGGACCCTCCGTACTTAAAGGGACACTATAGTCACCCAGACCACTTCAGCTCAATGAAGTGGTCTGGGTGACAGGTCCCTCAGGTCCTGCAGATGCCGGACAGCCACTAGAGGCGCATCTGATTGTGTGAGCCATTTAGCTTGTGAAAAAGGCATCCAGCATTGAAAAATGCTTTCCTATGGACACTTTGAATGCGCGCGCTGACATTGGGGGGGGAGTCTCCTCCCCCGCCAACGTCAGCGCGCGCATTCAAAGTGTCCTCTCGGTCACCAACGCCGTGGGAGCCTGGCGCTGGAAAAAAGTAAGCTGCTGAAAGTGTTTTAACCCCTTCAGCGCCACAGGAGGGGGCACCCTCAGGGCACTATAGTGTCAGGAAAACCGATTCGTTTTCCTGACACTATAGTGATCCTTTAATGCCTAAATCGACCACCTTGTGCATATAAAGATCGAGTTCTTCTCTCCTGTGAGGATACACCGTGCAAATTACATCCATATAAATTAGCTTGTGAAAAAGGCATCCAGCATTGAAAAATGCTTTCCTATGGACACTTTGAATGCGCGCGCTGACGTTGGCAGGGGAGGAGAGGTCACCAACGCCATGGGAGTGCTGGAAAAAAGTAAGGAGCGCTGGAAAAAAGTAAGCTGCTGAAAGGGTTTTAACCCCTTCAGCGCCACGGGAGGGGGCACCCTCAGGGCACTATAGTGTCAGGAAAACCGATTCGTTTTCCTGACACTATAGTGATCCTTTAATGCCTAAATCGACCACCTTGTGCATATAAAGATCGAGTTCTTCTCTCCTGTGAGGATACACCGTGCAAATTACATCCATATAAATTAGCTTGTGAAAAAGGCATCCAGCATTGAAAAATGCTTTCCTATGGACACTTTGAATGCGCACGCTGACGTTGGCGGGGGAGGAGAGGTCACCAACGCTGTGGGAACCCGGCGTTGGAAAAAAGTAAGCTGCTGAAAGGGTTTTAACTCCTTCAGCGCCACGGGAGGGGGCACCCTCAGGGCACTATAGTGTCAGGAAAACCGATTCGTTTTCCTGACACTATAGTGATCCTTTAATGCCTAAATCGACCACCTTGTGCATATAAAGATCGAGTTCTTCTCTCCTGTGAGGATACACCGTGCAAATTACATCCATATAAATTCCAAAAGCTATGACAAACTGTAGAATGGATAGTTTTTTGTTCAGGCGTGGGTCTCTAGATTCAAGCACCACTGAGATGTCCCCTTAGTTGTAAGCACGGTTTTCCAGGGCATCCTGTGAAGCTATGAGCAGGGGGACTAATTTTAAGATTTTTCCATTCAGTATATCTTTTTTAATGGATGCTGGGACGTAGTGTGCAGGTGAAACATATAGGGTAGTGGTTGTGGTTGGTTGTGGTTGGTGGAGGAGATGAAGGGAGGGGGGTGCAGGTTGGCAAAATAGGGGTTACCAAGGGAGGAACTGCATAGCCTGCTATGTCACCTGGAGTAGCTATAGCAGATTCCACCTTCAACAGTCTACTATTCATGGTTTGTAGGTTGGCCAGAATAGCAGCCAGGGTTTCTTGTGTGGAATTAGAAGTGCCGGTGGACAGCCCTTGGGAGCCGGTGCCAGGTCTGGGTTCACTGGCCTGTGCCGTCAAAAGTCTGTAAAGTTCCGCTTTCCTAGCAGTTGCTGGAAAGGGGATGCTTCTGAGCCTGAGTTCAGCTGCAATTTTTGGGATAGTCCTAGATCTCAGGGACATGGGGGTAGAGGGGATAAGGGATTACTCTGGCGACCTGGGCCTGGCTGGCGTGATGAGTACTTCATCAGAAGGTAAATCTTCGATGGGAATAGATTCCTGTGACAAAAGGAATAATGGTGAAATTAGATAAGGGGGTGTGGAGGGATAGTGAGGACTTCGTAGAACTGGCTTGCTGACTAGTGCCGAGGCGAAGAACTTAACTATAGCCAAGTGACAGGTGAGGCCCTGCTAATGCCAAGCGGCGGTGAGAGGCTCTAACTATGATTTGGGCAAAGGGAATTCATGGCCACTGATGTGGTGGCGGGATGTAAGCCTCTCGATGACCATAAGAGATTCAAAAAAAGTGTGGCCGTGACATGGGAGGCCCTAACTGTAGCCCTAAAGAAGGGCGAGCGAGGCGGCTAACTATGATTTTGGCCGCGGGGCTGAACCTCCGTGTTGAGGTGGGGAGTTGGCCTCGCGGGACCGGTAAAACTACTTGGGGTCAGCTAAGGCCAGCGCCTATCCCTCTAAACATGCTGGGGCTTGTCTCCTAAAAAATGTATTGACCACATGTTGATACTAGCCTTGAGTATAATGTTTAGAGTGGTCTTGGAAACGAATAGACTTTGACAAATCGCTGGTCCGGCCAAGGGTTATCCTAGGGGTAAGACAGATGTAGGTGGGCCCAAGACGTGCCACGGATATACCTCGATATGTAAATATGAAACGTATGGATAGGTATGTATTAATGATACTGTAACGTAAGAACCCGTGTAAGATGGGGGACCTGAACGTTGGTCCATAAACAGAGACAAGCCCCTGATTACCAAAGTATTGGAATGTAACGGAGGAAGGCTGCGTGAGGCCTTGGGGAGAAAACTTAATCGTAGTGCGTAAGATTAACAATACCTGGTAAGTGAAACACAGGACACCAGGTTAGCAGTCGGTGGTAGAAGTGCCAGAAGCTTGCAGGGACTTCGGCATAATGCAGGTCTAAGTAGTAAGTGTAGAAATAACAAAACAAAATGATGCATAGTCATTATTTATCAAGAAGCAGTGATATTGGTTTGGAGTTTATTACAGGTGAGAACGTAGTGAATAGTTACAAGGTGTCCCATGCCGTAGTTTACCAACCCGCCTTGGGTTGGGGTTTATTACTGTGGAGGCTGAATGAGGCCTCGGGGCAAGATAGCTGTAATTTGTAATACTATACCTGATGCTGTAGGACAGGATACCGGTTTAGCCACTTCATGGAGATATAGGAGAAGGTGAGGAGCCTAGAAACATGACATGTAACTAAGTACTTTAATAACTATAAAGGCTGAGAGAAATAGTGATCGCGTGATCGTGCTTTTTTGTAAAATTGTGATTGTTCCAAAAATGAACCGTGGTAGTTAAATTTAGGTTATAGACGTGAAAGTTGCATGGGCATAGTACTTAAGTGAGAAACGTATGACCTTGTAGCCGTCGAATTGCCAATTTAGATGAAAGGTTTTATACATGCAGTCAAAGAAAGTTCAAGTAAATAACAGTGTATCTCAATTAGTGTCACTTTAAAATCAACAGAAGCAGAAGGATAAATATTTATAATGTAGTGCTTTGTATGTTCGCACGGTCTCATAGAAACAAAGCAATATAAGAAAAGGGGGGGGAGGGTTGTAATTAGTATAACAGGCTGGCGTTCGGCTAAATTTTTTAAATTACATGTAGTAACTGCATAAATACATAGAGACTGCGTTCGGCTGTTTAGCCGCACTTAGAAAAAATTAACGAACGTAAGTATAGTAGAAAATAGTGATGGGTTCGTTCGTATGAACGAATGGTATGATCGGTTAACATACATGGAAAAGGAGAATTATAGCAGTGAGACATGATGGCGTTCGCCAAACTATACGAATGGTGAGACTGATTGAAAACATGTTTACAGCAGTCGTTAGTTTAACTGCATGAATGACTTCACGAACGTAAGTATGCCTGTGGTCGACTGTTTAGCCGTTTGAACCGCAGGAGTGCACGAACGGGTAAGTATAAGAACAGGTAAGTATACGAACGGGTAAGTACATACGAATTGCATAGTTTAATAGTGAAAGCGAACCTACCCCTACGTTTTTAGGTCTGGACGTGGGAAATAGCCGAACGCTATTTCCCATGTTATGCTTACGTGGATACGCCGGTCTCGTGACCGGAAGTCAGGTAGCGTACCCGGGGAGAAGCCAGGTGGCGGGACCGGAGGTCGGAGGCAGAGGATACTGCATCGACAGGATTCCTGCTAGCGTTGGAGACTTTTTCTGGCGGGAACTCCGGAAAAACACATGTCAAAAAAGGTATAAATTGATATATATATATATATATATATATATCAATTTATAACTTTTTTGACATGCGTTATTCCGGATTTTTCTTTTTGTTATTCTGTCTCTCACTGTTGAAATACACCTACCATGAAAAAACTGCATTTCCTCTCTAGGGACACTATACTTTGCATTACATCAGTTAGGTGATAATAAGAACAGAAACCTATTTCCTATAGGCTGTCAGTGCTCCCTCAGCAAGATTAAAGAGAAGAGTGGTAAGCAGCTTGCAAATAGCCTTTCCCATTAACACTCTTAATGCTAGAATATATACAAATATTTGAATTTTACATGACAAAACGGCAAATAGTTAAATTATTAGCAACATCATGAAAGCACGACATAATAAGCATACAGGGGATACCATTTACATGCAATGACTATCAGGGGATCATTTGGAGTCTTTGTGGTCTAGGAAACCAAAACATCCTTCCTGGATGATAGACTTACTGCTATTAGACAGCAGTAAGACATTAGACATATTTCCATTAAAACCTCCTGGAGATTATTAATGCAGACGACCACATATACTCTTAAATAGAACATTTTTTAATGGGATATAATTACAAATAGCACAAATGAACAGTCTAATGATTGCGGGTATAAACAATCAGGTAAACAGCCAGAATAATGCTTGTGATAGACTTTTTAATGGGCTAATGTTTTACAAAGCTAAACTTATTTTTAAAGGAACACTCCAAGTACCATATCCACTATAGGAGTTTCCTTTAGATGGCCCAAGCTAAGTCCCGCTGTGTAAGGCAAGCTGATGGCCGAAAGTGTTAGCCAATAACTTTCAGCCAATGAGCTAAGCCCTACACGGCTGGGCTTAGCTCAGTGAAGAGAGCTTCTGGCTAACTGGAAGCAGGGAACAGCACCTGACAGACCCGAGTTAAGAAGTTAAACTGTTACTAAATGGTTTGGCTACTTACAAAGTGGTGGAGAAAACACTACAGGGAACTGAGGTGGTTATGGGGCCTCGAGTTTTCCTTTAGGATATAGGCAATTGTACAGGTTCTGAGTTTAGCTATCTGTCTGTTCAACCAAAATTTACCTCTTTCATTTTACGTGGACCCACACTTACTATAAATCATTTTGTTCAAGAGAAAATTGGCTTTCATTTAAAATCACATATTTATATATGGAACATAATTTTAATATGAATAATATCTAAACATGTGTGCGAAATGTTGATATTTTTCAAGCTCTGCATGGTGTTTTAACTGTGAATGTCAAAATACTGGTAGCTGTTAAATAAAACACATTTTTATGCTATGATATCCCACAAGTACAATGATGCCCCCCATGTAGAGGTTTTTATGGTGTTTTGGAAAGCTACAGGGTCAAATAAAGAGATTGCCCATTTCAGTTTTTACACATTCAAATTTGCCAGATTGGTTATGTTGCATTCAAGACCGTATGGCAGCCCAGGAATGAGCATTACCCCCATTGTTTCATTTCATTTGTAAAAGTATGGGTATTCAAGCATTCATATTTGTTTTTTTGTATTTTTTTCTACAAAAAACTGTACTGTAACCAAATTATATCATTGTCATTAAAACACTCATATTTGTGTTCAGCGATGTTGCACAAGTTTGTACAGGTTTCATGGGGTTTAGAAAAGTTACAGGGTTATATATACGGCTTTCCCATTTAAGTTTTTTACACATTGAAGTTTGCTGGACCTACAAGTGATACTCGAAAAATTAGAATATCGTGCAAAAGTTCATTTATTTCAGTAATGTAACGTAAAAGGGGAAACTAATATATGAGATAGACGCATTACATGCAAAGCAAGATAGTTCAAGCCGTGATTTGTCATAAGTGCCATGATTATGGCTTACAGCTCATGAAAACCCAAAATCCACAATCTCAGTAAATTAGAATATTACATGCAATCAATAAAACAAGGAGTGTACATAGAACAATATCGGACCTCTGAAAATTATAAGCATGCATATGGACTCAGTACTTGATTTGTGCCCCTTTTGCAGCAATTACTGCCTCAATGCGGCGTGGCATGGAAGCTATCAGCCTGTGGCACTGCTGAGGTGTTATGGAAGACCAGGATGCTTCAATAGCGGCCTTCAGTTCTTCTGCATTGTTCGGTCTAATGTCGCTCATTTTTCTTTTGGCAATGCCCCATAGATTCTCTATGGGGTTCAGGTCAGGCGAGTTTGCTGGCCAATCAAGCACAGTAATCCCACGGTCATTGAACCAGGCTTTGGTGCAGTGGCTTTGGTGCAAATCCTGCTGGAAAATGAAGTCAGCATCCCCATAAAGCTTGTCTGCGGAAGGAAGCATGAAGTGCTCCAAAATCTCCTGGTAGACAGCTGCGTTGACCCTGGACTTAATGAACCACAGTGGACCAACACCAGCAGATAACATGGCTCCCCAAATCAACACAGACTGTGGAAACTTCACACTGCACTTCAAGCATCTTGCAGCGTGTGCCTCTCCATTCTTCCTCCAGACTCTGGATCCTTGGTTTCCAAATGAGATGCAAAAGTTGCTCTCATCAGAAAAGAGGACTTTGGACCACTGAGCAACAGACCAGGTCTGTTTATCTTAGCCCAGGTAAGACGCTTCTGACGTTGTTTGTTGTTCAGGAGCAGCTTGACAAGAGGAATACGACATCTGAAGCCCATGTCCAGAATCCATCTGTGTGTGGTGGCTCTTGATGCACTGACTCCAGCCTCAGTTCACTCCTTGTGAAAGTCCCCAACACTTTTGAATGGCTTTTTCCTGACAATCCTCTCCAGGCTGCGGTCATCCCTGCTGCTTGTGCACCTTTTTCTTCCACACATTTCCCTTCCACATAACTTTCTATTAATGTGCTTTGATACAGCACTTTGGGAACATCCAACTTCCTTCACAATTACCTTTTGAGGCTTTCCCTCCTTATGGAGGGTGTCAATGATGGTTTTCTGCACAACTGTCAGGTCAGCAGTCTTCCCCATGATTGTGATTCCTACTGAACCAGACTGAGAGACCATTTAAACGCTCAAAAACCCTTTGCATGGCTTACTTAGCTGATTAGAGTGGAACATTGTGAGCCTAGAATATTGCACCTTTTCACAATATTCTAATTTACTGAGATTGTGGATTTGGGGTTTTCATGAGCTGTAAGCCATAATCATCGCACTTATGACAAATCACGGCTTGAACTATCTTGCTTTGCATGTAATGCATCTATCTCATATTAGTTTCCCCTTTTACGTTGCATTACAGAAATAAATCAACTTTTGCACGACATTCTAATTTTTCGAGTATCACCTGTATGTTGTCTTTGAGACTGTATGGCAGCCCAGGAATGAGAATTACCCCCATAATTGTATACCATTTGAAAAGTAGATAACTATGTCCAGTCTATTTAGTCACAAACCATGGCCAAAGTTAGTGTTCATATTTTGTGAACACATATTCTGTTTTCAGCAAAGTCTTACGAGTACAACATTAACAGTAAAAAAGTTCCTGTGTTGTCAGGCACGTCCCTCAATATATAATTAAAGGGACACTATAGTCACCAGAACAACTACAGCTTATTTAATTTGTTCTAGTGTGTAGAATTATTACCTTCAGGTTTTTTGCTGTAAACACTGTCTTTTCATAGAAAATGCAGTGTTTACATTACAGCCTAGTGATAACTTCAATAGCCACTCCTCAGATAGCTGTTAGAGATCTTTCCTGGGCCATGGCTGCCTAAAATGCATCCAAACATTCAATGTCTCCTCCCTCTGCATGTAGACACTGAACTTTCCTCATAGAGATGCATTGATTCAATTCATCTCTATGAGGAGATGCTGATTGGCCAGGGCTGTATTTGAATCATGCTGGCTCTGCCCCTGATCTGCCTCCTTGTCAGTCTCAGCCAATCCTATGGGGAAGCATTGTGATTGGATCAGGCTACAATTTCTGATGATGTCAGCAGAGACTGCTTGTTTTTCTGAGTCTAACAGCATTCAGAGTTACAGCTTCAGGCTTGAATACAGTAAGATTTTTTACTATATTTATGGAGGCATGAGGGGCGCAGGGGGGCTAGATGGTGGTGTTAACACTATAGGGTCCTTTAATGAAATTACATAATTATGCAATAATTATACATATATACATATATATATTTTTGAAAAATGTTATTACAAACTAACCGAGCACTCTCTCGGTTTTCAAAAAGTCTATTAAACAATCCATACAATTACATCAATGTTTCGACCGTCCTGGGGGGTTGAAACATTGATTTAAACGTTTTTTTTCTTAAACTGCCACACTAAGCCAACCTGCACCTACCCATAAAGAGGCACTGACTTAATGCATCTCTATGGGGAAAGTTTAGCGCCTCCACGCAGAGAGTGGAGACGCTGAATGTGCATCACTGACCCATGAAGCACCTCCAGCAGGTGTCTGAGTCTAGGCTGTAATGTTTTCTCTGAAAAGGCAGTGCTTACATTAAAAAGCCTGCAAGACCATGCGGTACTCACCAGAACAATTAAGAAACATTAAGCTGTGGTTGCTCGGGTGACTATAGTATCCTTTTTAGTATGGGGCTATATGGACTCAACTGAATAATCCCGCCAGTGTTCAACAACTGCAAATGTTTTAAATCTAATTGACGATTAAAGATTTGTCTGCAATTCACATCCATCTCCAAGTATCAATATACTAAACTACTGATTCAGAGGAAATCCAGTACATAAAACAAATTATCTAATATTTCCAAGTATCCCACTCTCTATAGTTTAGCATTAACAAAATTAAAATACATGCATAAATACCTGTGGTCACCGTTATTTTTGTGTTTGCTGTTCCAAAGCTGTCTGCTTACAGCTCCAGGTGGTGGAGATGAGGGGAGAGGAGGAGGAGCAATATAAGGAAGGGGAGGCAAATCCCGGCTGACTTTACGGAGTCCACCTGTCCTCCGTAAAACTACCTCTCCTTCCCCTTCATGCCGGAAAGTCCTTCTAGGTTTGGGCAATGGGTTAATGGACAGCTTCTTCTCTGGGGCCCCAGGTTCTGTATACACATTTTCGGCATTGCTTGTCCTTCTAGAACT